GGAGAATACATTTCAGAGACAAGGATTAATGAGCTTAGATTTTAAAACAATGAAATCAAAGGATATGTTAAACAGCCTCAGAAATTAAAAAAAAAAGAGAGAAATGTTCAACACTAAAATAACATTTCTTGTATCTATATCTAAGAAGAAACCAAAGAATTTACAAATATACTTATTACATGTTTTCAAGTACATGAGTTCTGAATACAATGGATTGTTGTGTAAGTCCTCGAAATAAATTGCTTGCCGTTATGGTTTTCCTGATCCTAAATGACCATTTTACTGATCTAAAATATAACCGATTGCAGTAAATAGTAATTATTTGATTGACAGAAATAAAGTAAAATAAATCTTAACTACTATATAAAATCGACGTATCTACAATACTTTTGCCTCATGGCACTGTTGATATAAAAATAACATTGGTAACAAACGAGTTTTTTAAACATAGGTTTTCTTTCAAACTTCACACTTTGCGTAACATAATTTTTTTATACCATAAAATTTTACGAGAGGATAGTTAATTTGCTGGTTTCAATATTCAATAGGTTCATGTTGTAAACAATAGGAATTATGAGTAAAATTCAATTCTTTAAATAATTAGTTTTAATCAATTAATTTTTATAAATTATCGTATTCTCATCTCAAATAATTGTGGAAAGAAAATTTCAGATCAATTGAGCGCTTTAAAATATGAGAAAAAAGCTTTTAAAATTTTGACCCAGATATAGTTACGTGAGAAGAAGAAAACCCATTATAGAAGGAAGCAATAGCCTTTCGAGGAGCTGGGGATCGAACCCAGGGCCTTTCGCATGCAAAGCGAACGCTCTGCCACTGAGTTACACTTCGATTGTTTCAATATTCTACTGCTTCACGTTGTAAACAATTGGAATTATGAGTATAATTTAATTCTTGAAATAATTAGTTTTAATCAATTAATTTTCCTTAATTATAATTAAATTATCGTATTCTCATCCAAAACAATCATGTATAGAAAATTTCAGCTCATTTGAGCGTTTTAAAATGTGAGAAAAAGCTTTTAAAATTATGACCCGGACATAATTACAATATAAGAAGAAAACTCATTAAAAAAGTAAAGTCTATGCACGAAAAAACGGCCACGAGAATGAAATCAACCATTCATACTCACATCACTGTAATAAAATTAACTAATACACAGGCAGAAAATATCACGTTTTATTTAATGATCAGTTCACATTTTAACATGATTACATCCATAGCTTCAATGTTCAATGTCAGTGTTGAGTTTGGGAGAAGTAGGCCATATTTCTTTTCGCTGAATACACTAGATACAAGATATCCATTTTTGGAAAGCAAACCAAGTTCTTTTAGAGCAATTTTCGCAACTTTTGTGTACACAGACCTATTCAAAAACAAAGCAGCAAAAGAAGTTTCTCTTCTGATCGATGGTAAAATAGGTTTAATCCATATCTCGAAACCTTTGTTCTGAAAAGATAAAAATAAATAAGTTAAAGTTCAAAATAAATCTTACAGTAATATATATATATGTGTGTGTGTGTAATTTTACATTGTTTAGATATATTGATGTGTGATTTTGTAATTAGTAAAAAAAATAGGGTTTTAGAAAGCATGTCTGCTTCATAATTAGAAGAGCCCCTTTTGTATTTGATTTCATGATCAAACATAGATAATTTAAGTGACTTTTTAAACAATATTCCAGTTAAATATTTTTACACTTTTAAGCCATACGAGTGCAGCATGATCAGTATATATTCTGAAATGGCTCCCATGTAAATAATATTAGTCTAGTGAATCTATTATGCCAAGGCATTCTAGTTCATTGATGGCATAGTTCCTTTCATAAGGCCTTAACTCTCTAGAATGAAAAGAAATGGGATGTTGTGAACCACCAGGATTTTCTTGTTTCAAAGCGGCTCCAAGAGCTCCTAGCGATGCATCTACTTATTAATGACATTTATAATTTGGATGGAAAAGAGATAAAATTGGTTTGAAAATTTTAGAGTTAAGAGAGACTATAATTACAACCTAACTGTAAGGCGTCAGCCAATAGCATTACAGTAAGCCACATTCCAAGATTCTTGCTTAATGCATTAGGCAGGGGGGGGGGAAGAAAAAGGAAAAGCCCTGCAGAAAAGATTACAATCTTAAATATTGTTACTAGGGTAGATGATTATTTATTAAAATTAATGTGTGTGTTTTTCCCAAAATGCGCCCAATCCATGTCTAATGAACTTATAGTGTAATAATGTTCTTACAAAAATAAGTGCAATGGTACTCAAATCTTGTGCGAAGGTAAATACAGTATAATGCAGGAGTTACCAAATTTTCCAAATCAAGACAGAATTTTTAAACCAAGGTTTTCAAACGTCATCAAACCGCAAGAGAAAAAACATAAGTATACACGGCACCCGCAGCGCGCACTTTGGAAATGAAACTATTTATATCAGTACATCATAATTTACTTTATTATATGTATAATACAATAGTTTATACCCATTTTAATTTTTCTAAAATGGTGCCCTTTCGGCTTAATATTTACTTACATCATAAATATAAAAAATAACTTTATAATATTACAAAGTATTAAAATTATTAAAAAATTCTAAATTTTTAATAAAAACAATCTCACACTTAAAATATTAAGTAAATTATAAAGGCATTACTCCATTACAGTATAATTAGTGTCACCCTTTATTGATTCTACGATGAAATATTATATAAAATTATTTATTTTTAGAAAGTACGGTTTTCTCCTCCAAATAAAAAGTCTATCTTATTCGTAAACTTATTTTGTAATTGAAATACCATTAGAATATGGCAAACTTTAAACTTAAAAAGGAAACTTTAATAAATTATATGTTTATCAAGCCGTGAACGTGTTTTTAAAAAAATAATCAGATATTCTGATTTAATGCCGCTATCATAAATATTTTTAAAATTAAAAAATCATTCAAATCTATTTGTAGTTTATCTATATTATTAGGTAGTATATCAATTAATAATAAGAATTTTATAGATGGATATACAAGTATATATCTGGATATACAAAGAGATAGATGGATATATCAGATGACAAAACTATTAGGCATCCGATAAAAATCTTGTTTGTAAAATACCATTGTGCAGGGAAAATATAAAGCTATAAAAAAGGATAGAAAATAACCACTTTTTTTATATACAAATTTGATTATGCATTTGATTGCGACTCCCTTAGCCTTAATTCTTTGTGGCATGATGATCAATATTTTACAGCATTTTATTCCATTCTTGCAGTAGAACGCTTTTTAATTTATGCTTTGAAGTAATTGGAAATTCTCCAACCTTGTGTAAAGTGTCAATGGGGTTGAGATCTGGCTCCAGAAGCCATTCCAGGAGATATACACCGTTTTCTCTTAGCCATCACATAGTTGTTGCAGACATATGGCATTGTCTAGCTGGAATTTAATCCCCCCTATATTTGTATCTCCAAAAATCTGAGAAAATGATGAATCGAAGGTCGTTTCAAAAACATTTATGTACCGGTTAGAGTTCATTGTTCCCACACAAAAGTCCATTTCACCCAAACCATTGATACTATGCACCCCCAGAAAATAATACTGCCTCCTCCGTACATTCCGGAAGGTAAGCTTTGTATACCTTTCACCTCACATATATCACACCAGGTATCCTACACACCTATAATATTAAAGTAATATTAACCAACTCTGTGAATCTATTTTCAAATATTTTTATACATATTGAAACTCCAGTACTGTTTTTAATACACTGGTGTGCATAACTTAAGCAACATTGTAAATTTTATGCAGATAGCCATAAAATTGCAGAAAGGGCTTATTGTGATCAGTACAATGAACGTCCAATTCAGTAGAAAGGTAATGCGTATGCAAATGTCAGGAACAAAGCGTCATAGTTGATGTGAGTGTACGCAAAACGCGTGCAGTCTGTGCGTGCAGCTCAAGACTACAATAAAAGGAAGAGCGGAAGTGCAATTAAAGACATTCGTTGCAAGAGCAAGTGAATTCTTTCGTAAAATATGGCTAGCAAAAATCATCTGAATGACTTCACCGTGAAAGAATGATCAGAAAGCTGGAAGAGGGGCGTAGTTTGACCAGTGTAGCTGAAGAGTTCGGAATCAACAAAAGTGTCGTTTCGCGCGCTTGGAAAGCCTTCCATACCATAGGTACAGCAGTTAGAAAGGTTGCCAGTGGCAGCTCTAGAAAAACAGCTGCAATGGATGACCGATATATTCGTTCTGCCGGCGAAAAGAGCCCGATACCAATCAGCAAGCGCCATTGCTCAGTAACTGTGTACAGCAACAGGGCGACAAGTGTCGCGGTTTACTGTGGTCAGATGCCTTCACAAAGGTGGCCTATTATCCGCTGTCCTGAACATTGAATCCCTTTGAAAATTGGCCATCGGCGGCACCATTTAGAGTGGTGTAAGGAGTACGAAAACTGGACTTCTCATCAATGGAGTCATGTCCTCTTTATGGATGAGAGTCGTTTCAAAGTCACAAGCCATTCTCAACGCCCGTTGATTTGGAGAGAGGTCGGGACACGGGTTTCATACCAGTAACATCACGAAAAGAGACCATTACGATGGTCCTGGACTTGCCGCCCGGGGAAGCATTATGCTGAACGGGTGCACCGTTTTCGAGAGATGTTCTGTAATCGGAGATCGCTATTGTAAGAAGGTGATCCTTTCCCATGTGCTATTGTACCAGACAACGTTTTTATGGATGACAATGTACGGCCACACCGGACTGCTGATGTTCAGCAGCTACTGGAAAGTGAAGATATCACTCAAATAGATTAGCCGACGTTCTCCCTTGATTTAAATCCCATAGAACACGCGCGGGATACTTTGGGAAGACGCCTTACGGCACAATTACATCCTCCGGAGAACACCCAACTGAAACAGATGTTGATTGAGGAATGGGCACTCTTACCTCAAGAACTGTTGGACAATCCAGTGCTGAGTATGAAGAGACGGTGCGAAGCAACCATTGCAGTAAGAGGAAGGCATATCCCATACTAAGGAACATCTGCTTGTTGTTCTTGGACAGAAAACCATGTGTAACGATACTATGAGTTCAATAAAGCCTTTTTTTTATTTGATTTCATACTACATACATTGTATTTATTTTTGCGCAACTATGCTTTCGGCTCGCTTAAGTACAAAATGCTGTCAGTCATTTCTGAATTTTATGTCTCTAAGATGATTTCTCGTGGAGTTACGGGAAAAAAAAAAAAAAAAAAAAAAAAAAAAAAAAAAAAAAAA